GTACTGGGACAGCTACCTCAGCTGTCTCCACATGGACACTGTCGAGGAATTGCTCGTGGATACGGATGCTCCTCAACCTAGCCACCTTCTCCTGTAGCTCTCCCACCTGCTGCCTGAGAGATTCCACCAGCAGGCACCTCTCACATTGGATGGTCCCCCCAGCCTGGATATCAGTAAGTGGAAATTGCAAGTTACAGTCTTTGCAAAACCACACCAGGATCTGGGTAGAGGCATCCATGCTTAGGCACTCTGTCTGGCTACAGGCACAGGTGGAGGAGACAGTAGCCTAGGTCTGAGCCCAGGAGAGTCCATGCAGACATATATGCTGAGCCCAGGAGTGGGAGCCTGTTGGCCACCCCACCCATCTGGTTAAACAGCTCTATGGCCTTGAGACCCAGGAAGGGAGCAAGACACCGGAGCCTTTCTGCAGGGTCAGCCTGGTTCCAGTTGCCAACCTCCCAAAGGCTGTGAGACGGGCATCTATACCTTCCCCCTCCTTAACCTGGGGCAGCAATTTAGCGTCGAGGTTCCCTGCAAAACTGGCACTTCAGGGTCCATCCCCCCTCACCCCTGGATGGGTCCTTCTGCCTCTCAGCTCAGCCATCACCAGCTCCTGCTGCCTGTCTCTCCTGCTGTTCTGCTTCATGCCTTCCCTGTCTATCATGATCCTCTTCGATCTCAGCTCCAATTCCATTCCACTCAGATCCTGGTGGAGACCCCCTGGTCGGGGACATGGGTCTCCGGAACACCTGGCTGCTCCCAGCCTCTCTCATGGCCCCAGCTGAGTCAGGAACTGGCTCCTTAGAGCGATCCCTCCTCTTCCAACTGAGCAATCAGCTGTGCCTTAGTGAGCTTTCCAAAGTGCAGCCCTCTCTCTCTCTGCACAGCTCTACAATCTCCTTCTTATGGAGATGGTTATAGACCATCTTCGAGATGTTCCCAGGTGGTCACGGACTCACAGGCCTGGGCTCTCTCAGCTCCCATGATCCCTGAGAGGAACCCCTTCAGTGCGACAGCCCTTCTCGGGGGTCCACTCTCTCTCAGGATTTAAGGTGTAGCTCTTCTGTCTCCTGGAACCTCACCTCTTGGAGCCTTCAGCACACCTGTCTCTCGCTAATCCCCCTTCGTTTTACTACTCCCCAGTCACTTACTGCAGGATGCTCTGTCCACGGGGTGCAGTTTATCCCACCGCTACCACCAGTTGTCATGGAGTCACCGGGTCAGTGCTCTGGAAGCCAGTCAGGACTCTGGGGGAGCCTCCTCTCTCTGAGCAGACTGTCTCCAGGGCAAGAAGCTTACACAACGAGGGGGTCAGAGCGGTTGGGGGCAATGGGAGTCAGAGCAGGGGGACTAAGGGGTGATGGGTCAGAGCAATGGGGGGTTAGGGGGCAATGGGGGGTTGAGGGAGATGGGGGTCAGAGCAATGGGGAGGCCAGTGGGCAATGGGGTCAGAGCCGTGTGGGGCTAGGGGGCTGTGACATTCCCCTCTGGTGTTATCCGGACCAGTGATCTGCTAGGCCTCTCCAATCCTTGACTCTGGGAACCAGCCTTACCCTGCTCTGCTGAGAGAACCCCCACTCCTGGGCTGTTCACGCACAGCCTCTGGCATGTAAGCTGCTCCTTTGATAGTGCAACCGAATGACACTAGCCAATATCTCCGGTCCCCGACACAACCCTAGGAACCTCCATCTTGCAGTGTCCATTCATGCCCACTGGACGCTGCAAGCTTATATAATTAGTTTGTCAATTTAACAAAGAAATTGATATGTACCAGGCTTCTTATCCCAAGGAGAGTCTCTGACACACCTCAAATCAAACACACTGTTTATTCTACCTGAAGCAAACAGATTTATTAACTACAAAGATCGATTTTAAGTGATTATAAGTCAAAACATAACAAGTCAGATTTGGTCAAATGAAATAAAAGCAAAACGCATTCTAAGAGATCTTAACACTTTCAATGCCCTTACAAACTTAGCTGCTTCTTACCACAGGCTGGCTGGTTACTTTTCAGTCAGGCTCTCCCCTTTGATCAGCACTTCAGTCGCTTGGTGTAGTGTCTTTGGATGGGGGTGGAAAAGAGAGGAAAAGCCTGGCAAACATTCCTCCCTTTTATCATGTACTTTCTTCCCTCTTGCCTTCGTCGTCGTCCCCCCCCCCCGCCCCCGAGTCAGGTGAGCATTACCTCATCACAGTCCCAAACAGGCCAAAGGAAGGGGGGTGACTCCCTTGAGAGTCCAACAGATCCTTTTGTTGCTGCCTAGCCAGTGTCCTTTGTTCCTGTGGGGCTGGGCTGGGTTTGTCCCATACATGCCCCGAGGAGGTGTGAACTGCCTCCCTGCTCTTGGAGACTTTTTGACTGGGCTTGCTCTAAGCCATGAGGACACATTGTCAGCCTTATAATTATATACATGAAATTATAACCTATAACCTCACTATAACATCACTGTAACAACTACTGTAACATCACTGTAACAACCATGCTCGGTGCATTATGAGCCTTCTGAAGACCCCCAACATGACAAACTTTGCATTAGATACCACGCAGTCATTTTATAAAGATAAACCTGGGGGTGTAGGGTGTTGCTCTGAGGTACAGAGCGTCACAGGAGCAATGGGGGTCAGAGCTATGGGGGGGGGGCTGGAGGGTGAGGGGGGCTTTGAATGGAGATTCTGCCTGGCCCCATCCTGATCCCTGTGGGTCATTTGCCGTTTAACACCTTGTTTTCCTCTGCTCAGGCTTCTGGCGCTTCCGGCCAAGAGCTCGGGGTACGACCTCTGCCCCCAGCGGGGCCCAGATGCCCAGCGCCTCCCACTGCTCTGCCACCCACGTAAGGAATCCCCTGTCCCCCCTGCCCGCCCCACTGTGCCACCCACATAAGGACCCCCCCCACCCTGCCCCCCCCACTGTGCCACCCATGTACGGACCTCCCCCGCCCCCCTGCTGTGCCACCCACATAAGGACCCCCCCATCCCTGCCACCCCCGCTGTGTCACCCATATACGACCCCCCCCATCCCTGCACCCCCGCTGTGCCACCCATATACGGACCCCCCATCCTGCATCCCCGCTGTGCCACCCATGTTTCGACCCCCCCGCTGTGCCACCCACATAAGGAATCCCCTGGCCCCCCTGCCCCGCCCCACTGTGCCACCCATATAAGGACCCCCCCACCCTGCCCCCCACTGTGCCACCCATGTACGGACCCCCCCCACCCTTCTG